ACTGTTGATTACACATTCTTCCCTTAAGTATAGTAGAATGGAGGTGTTCAGCCGCATCCTGGAACAAAGCTGTGTCTTGTGCTTCTTCAGGAAGGCTGCACCTAGCAGATACCAAAGCCTGTGTTACTGTGCTGTACATGACAAGGCAGGTTGGTTCCTGCTGTGGTACTCTGCATCCTAGCCAACACACCCAAGGGCTGTTTGCTCTGTCCCACAGCCACGTGCTCCCATTCCCTCCACTGCACCAGCAGCGCTGCTCTCTAGCCAGGAGGCTGAGCCACCAGAAGAAAGCTCCCTCATCAGCTGTGGAAGCATTGGAGCCATGACAAGGACAGAGCCAGAGCTGAGGGAGGTCAGGTTGGTCTCAGCCCAGGGACTGTCCCTTCCAATGATCTTACAGTATTTGAAGCAAGTGGGAAGCACTGGCTCTGTGATAAGGTATGAGATGCTCCAACTCTACCAGTTATTGAAAGTCCCGTAAAATATTTCTGGGCTGTGAACTATATTAGCTGTAGCTCATTCTCTATAGAAAGAGTATGTCTGATGACAAAGAAGGCAAAACCGTTTGAAGGGTCCCCAAAGACATGTCAGTTTACAGAGCATGCTGCCAGCAGTGAGGGAATAAAAGTTTTAGAGGGTCTTTTTCCAGAAAGAGTTGTAAGGTTGGGAAAAAAGGTGGTTGGTTATCTGCTTTAAGCCAGAAGGTTGAAAAACCCAAACTGGGCTGTGAACTATATTAGCTGTAGCTCATTCTCTATAGAAAAAGATCATCTTTCTCTGGTGACAAAGAAGCCAGAAGATTGAAAACCCCCAATAAATATTCGGACTCAATAAATGCAGCTCTGAAAACCTGTACTGACCTGAAGGGATCTTAGAGACATTTCTAGAAAGACTAATATCACCTGGAAGAGATAGGAGAGAGATTATGAAATGCACCATCACCGTAATGAAGACCCCATCTAAAAGCCTTTCTGAGATGCCTGATCTTCCATGGAACCATTAGCCATTATATACTGCTTACAGTATTTCTTGCCCATCTGTTGAGAACTCAGCTAAGTGGGGTTCAGTGTTGTGTATATTTGCAGGTGTTAGTTTAGCGATCCAGAATTAGCATAACAGAGGAGATCCCAAGGCACAGTACCAGAATATCTGAGCACCTCTTTTCCCTGTCACAAGAAGTGCAGCTCAGTGTCCCATTATCATATTTCCCCTTACAG